CTAAAAATTAATACCTACTTAATTTAATTTAAAGTTATTTAGATTTTTTTAACTGAATATGCCAAATCAGTAATCATAAGATTAGATCAAATAATTCGATAAGAGTAACAYAAAAACATAAATATAATATACAAGAGTACTTTACAGAATAAGAACAGAAAGAGACACCACCTAATGGCACAACCTTCTCTTCTAAAATTCTAAAATTATGAAGAATAATTTTTGATTAGTTAATTTATAAAGGATCATGGCGCCAACACATCTTTATACTCCAAGCTGTGTCAYCTGTTAGTGTTGTTTTTGCGTGGTTTGAAATATATATATAGGCGAGAATGATTTAAKCATCTATAGAAATTAGTTTAGCTATAGGTACTTGTTGTGCAAAATGCTTCATCACAAAAATTGTGAAAATGTGGTTGATTATTATTGTAATACTATTTTTCTTACAACATTGTGGGTCATATAAGAGAATCTTTTGTCAACTTTAATTAATTATGGTTTAGGTTTCATTGGCAAATATTAAATTGAAATATAATTAAATTTTAATTAAATTTTATATTTAAGCTATTTATTCTATATTTAATATCAATTTAATTCATATCATAATACTATAATGATGGTTTCATTTGCGTTTGAATTATAACTATTCAATTATTATTTACATTCATAATTTTATTCTATATATTGTAAATTATGTTTTTAATTTAATTTAAATTATAATTGTATAGCTTAGACTGTAAATAATATTTATAATACACAATTATAGTTTGTTTGACGTTATATACTTATTTATTAAATCCAAACATAAGTATAATAAGTGAAAAGTTGAACAAAATTCATCATAGCACATTTGAAAATAAAAACTATTTTAAGCAGCGGAGCTATTTATTCAGCCCCAGGCCTGTACATATTTTGTATTTTCCATAAATTTTTTTTTAAATTATTCACTTAATTATAATATGCAGTATAATATTCTTTACGTTAAGAGAAATACTATGTAGAAGACCAAAAAAAAAAACTTATTCAAAGTACTATAATTTAGAATATTATATCTAGATTCATAAAGTTGCCACCTACGAAACAAGTTGCTCTCTGAGCATTTTATTCTGCACGAAAAATTCTTACATAAAAATATTTTAAAATAATGACATAAAATATTGTTGTTAAGTAAATATTTTATTATAGACCCTAAAAAAACCATAATTTAACGATTTTGCCTAATAAATTGAGTGCAAATCCCGTTTAGATAGGGATATATATTACTCACATATGAACTCTAGTTTTTATAAATTAAAAAAAAATTATTTATTTGTCATTCATGAACACTCGTTCGATTTCCAATTTAAACGTGAGACATTTTTTAAACGTTAGTATTTCTACTGAGTAGTTGCTAACAATTTTTTTCCTTTGCATCTATTGATGCCTAAATTATGAATTAAAATTTAATCAGATATTCATATTATAATAAACTGTTTGCCACTATTTTCGTGATAATATGCTTCTCTATATATTATATTTAAATTTACCCAAAGTACCCTTACGAAATACAAGGGCAAATTCTATAGACGTATTTAGCAATAAATAGAGAGTGTACGAGCATAATATGTTATAAAGTAATGATTGATTACAGTAAATCAATGACCKTATGAAATATTAATTCTGTCAAGAATAGGTATCCATTTTAGATGCATTTTACTTCTCAGCCTCTCAGCGTCAACAAAAAAACCACCATGACCTCAGATTTATTGAATCATTAAAACATAACGTCATCCCTCATATAATATATAAGTACATATTACTAATTGATACGACTGAAATGAATTACATATTATTTTCTGTCACTACTTGCTCACGCCCACGAATTGTTTTGTTAAATAATAATATATAGTTGGAGATAATAAGTATTTTAAATTGGTTAGAAGTTTTCTTTTTGTACAATTCCAAACTAATCTCTATTC